GTTGTTTTAACAATTACTACTTCAATAGTTATGAGATGGAAATTAATTTTAAGTTTTTTTCAGGCAATCAGAATTGAGCCTTCAAAAAAATTCAAAGAAACCGCGAGGATCTAAAAGACAGCGATTAAGTGCAGATTTTACAAATCAATCCCATCTCTATTGAAAACAACAGAAAATTCGGTGTTTTTTTTATTTGTTTGTTTTGTTTCCTGGTCTCGGAAAATTTAAATTTCTACTGACCAGAACATTGTGCGCTAAGAGCTATCATTATTTTTTGTCATAAGCTTGTTAATTGTTGATTCAGAATCTTTTATATACAGGTACAATAATCAGGACGAGGCGGAGCTTCGAGATACTTGCGGCTCAGAAACATGCGAGTATTTCAAAGTATAACACGTGAAAACACCTGTTATTGGAAAGGTTTTTACGAAAATTTGTGCAAAGAAAATCAACAAAAAACAGGCGCTAAAACAGTCGAATTACAAAAACTCTTTTAACTTCCTCTAAATTTTTTTAAGTGAGACAAAGCAATAGTAAAATTTTTGTGTTCTTTAGCCAAAAATAGTTATCTATACAAAACATAACCTGTCATACGCATCATAAGCAGATAGGTTGCTAAATTATATATAATATAATTATAGCTTGAATGGATGAATAAGCTTCAATTATGACATTTTATTTTAATACACCGAAGTAGGTAATTATTAGAAAAGTAGGCTCATTGTGTGTAATATATTTGTTAAATGTTCCAAATGAAAAAAGGGAATCAATGTCCCTCAGATTTAGAATCAAGGTTCCGACTGTAAGAAAGTGAATGCTTATGCCTAGGAATATTTATTTTCAGTCATTTTTGACGTTACAACTATGTGCATTGGCCAAAAAACTTCAATACCATCTGAAAAAAAAATGTTGAAAATACAAAAAAAAATTACCCTAGATGTTTTTCATGAACTTGGTCTATAACAATTTGGCCGATTTGATTTAATTTTTGCGATATAATGTTTTCTTGAAACACGCGTAAGTTATTTTTTTGCATCGCTCTAAATTGAGTTGGGGCAACCCATTTGGTCTCAGCATTAAGTATTACTTGTATATCGAGTGGAGGGATAAAAAGAAAAAAAACAGTTCATTTATCAGTTTTTTTTCAAAAACGTTTAATTGGCTTCGCCTTGATTCACGAGCAGTTCTAGTTTTTTTTACAAGCGTTATAATAACAACCTTAAAAACTTTATGAATCAAACAATATTTAAGATGCAGTCAGTTGGAAAAGGAACCAAGATTGCTCCTATCAAGGCGACGCGTTAGCTGCAGTATATCACGCGTTAACTGTTCCAATATATCACGCGTCAACTGTCATGAATTGGCAATCTTTAAACCATCATAAAAGCACAAAAAAAATGATCACAAAATAAATTTCTAAATTCGATCTCCGGATGATGGTAGTTTTCAGATGGTATAAGAAAGTTCCTATAAGTCAGTTTTGCATAACTATGATTAGATGATGGAAGATGTCATGAATTGGCAATCTTTAAACCATCATAAAAGCACAAAAAAATGATCACAAAATAAATTTCTAAATTCGATCTCCGGATGATGATAGTTTTCAGATGGTATAAGAAAGTTCCCATAAGTCAGTTTTGCATAACTATGATTAGATGATGGAAGATATGTAGCATTTATTGCATAGAAAATATTGTAGAAAATCAGATTTACAAAAAAACGCTTAATCTCTTTTTGGTAGCAAAATAAATTTTTTTGAGATGTGACCAAAAAATGAAATTACTCTGTTTTAATTTTCCATGAGAGTGTAAGATTCCAAAAAACTTCGGATTAAAAGTATGAACCGGTTGATCAGCTATGAAACACTTAATAAGTCTGCGGGTCAAAATTTTAATTAAATTGAGCATTCTATCATACCTGATATTTTCCAAGTTTTTCTCTAGACAAAATCCCGTGTACAATTTTTTATTTGACTTCTTTATGTGAAATATTCGAGAACTGTGAATGCTCTTCATTCCTTTATCAAACTAATACTCATATCATATTCTTTATCTGATGCTGAAGAATAATTTAAACCAAAAATTTTTGCTCCGACTCGCAGTGGTTTTTCTCCAAGTAAATTCTGACACCATAACTAGTCAATTTTTAATGGAATGTTTCCATCATTAAGAGAAAAACTTTGATGTTTTGAGCTTAAGTTCAACACTTGTTTTTAGTTCGTGCTATTGACGCTGGAGCAACTATTGAGTCCGGATCATAAATCGTTCTAAATTGATTAGAGCCCTGTTTGTTGTTCTGATATTTAAGTTTCTGTATGCTAAAAATTTATGGTAGTTTAAAAAGCGCATCGGGGCTGATCTTCAAAATTGGACAAATGTTTTTCGTTAAGTCGAGACATTGAACAGTCAAATTTTGACAGTCTTCTTAAAATTTACTTTTTTTTCAACATCTCAACTTTTTTTTTCAAATGAAACTGCTATATTCTGGCTTTTTTTTCTGAAGCTGCTGTATTGTGAGCTCGTTTAATTTTTATTTGTATTTGTCGTTTTTTGAAGCTGCTGTATTGTGAGGTCGCTTAATTTTAGTTTGTATTTGTTGGTTGCCGCATAGGTTAAGCTTCTGAGGACACGGTAAATTTAAGATAAACAATGTAAACTAATCATTTATTTTCCCCTGACAACTCCCTAAGGAGGAGGCGTCTCATGCTTGAAGGACCGAATGCTTGAAAAATTTCAACCAATCAAACACGAATTCAACTAAATGCCTTTCTCACAAAAAGAGGTCAATATTAACAGAAAATATATTAAATCAGTAGAAAATAATCAAAAATAATACAAACTGCGGGTTATAACCGCAATACTATTCAGATAATCATCAAGATTAATAAGGTCAAAAACATAAGAATTTTTCTTTCTTGAAAACTCATCTGCTTATTATCTAATCGGTCAGTTTTAACACTAATGGCCTGGATTTACTTTCCTATTTTGAGACTTTCGCGATTTATTTTGAGATTCTGAATATTCAATTCTGATTGGCTGAAAGTAAGCTAAAATTAATTTCAAGCATTCGGTCCTTCAAGCATGAGGGACGCCACCCTCCCTGAGCCTGTATTACAGACAGCAAAACTTGAAATTTCTTTTCTATAAAATTGGAAACTCTTTTCTATAATATGCGTTTGAATAAACTTGAGCACTCTAGAACTTACCTCTTAACAATGTTCACAAAGAAATCGTCTTAGAGCTTGATGAGTACAATTATTTATCCGCGTTCTGATAATTTCAATTTTGGAATTATAGAAAGTTCCAGAAAAACTTTGTTACCTGGAAACTTCTTTGGAACGTTTTGAATTAAGTTTGGCAGTGTAGGAGCTAGCCTGAATTAAAATGCATCTTAGACCCTGAGCGTCTTCATTGTTCCGACTTTCAAATAAAATGACGGAATATTTGTGCTCGGAGTGCTTTTTGTCTCCAGACAACTTTGACTTTTTAACTAATCATATTTGACGGGTTGGTTTTCATATTACCAAAAATATATTAAAAGTTTGAGCTCGATTTAGTTTTATTTACTTGTGACTATTTTTTTAAAATAAAGTTGTGCGCGTTTGAAAGTAGCCATTATTAACTCGCAATATATTTCTCGCAAATGCAGCGCGAGCAAAGAAATTGCTCCAAACTGAAATAAAACTGCTAGTGTGAGGGTGAAACAAAGAGTGCTCCGATTGCCTTTTAAACTCTATGGAGTAGACTTTGCACAAAAAACATTGATGCAATTTCCAAAAAAAAATTCCCCCACTCGCTATGAAGAGAACAAAAAAATCACAAAAATTAAAGTATTTTAAAGACCATATAGCATGCTTCATATCTCTTAGGGACAATTTCTAACTCTGAATAAATCTCCGCTTACGCATCAATAGCGCGAAATACATTGCGCGTTAATTGTCCCAATTTGGCCAATTGGCACAAGTTAAACCCCCGTAATTTTATAAAAATGGTCATAAACCGTGTATCTTCTTAAATTTGCGCTCAGAACAACAATATCTTGCTGATGACTTAAGACTCCATTAAAAATGGCTGGGTTGCCTGATTAAAAAAACAATCGAAGTACAAAAATTGCGTCAATTTCTCGAAAGGAGGAACAATAAAACCAACAATTTGCCCTATTTTATGCATTACCAAGCAATAATATAACTTTCTATTTTACATAGCGTATCAGCAGAGAAAGTGGCAAAAATGAAGAAAAAAAACGAGTTGCTTTTCCGATTATTTCGAGTTTTCAAAAAGTTTTTTAGAGGTTTTTTGATGCCTTTTGATTGTTTCTGATTATTTTTCTAATTTTAAATCCTCGTTTTGCAAAACATTTTCGCTTGCATCATTTCCATTGATTTCCGCTATCTTTTAAACATAACAGGTTAGCCCATTAGTCTTTTTTTGTCTAAAAAACAAAAGTTAATTTTTTTGGGCCCGAACTAATTTTTTAAAATGATTTTTTGATTCTGGGACAATTCTACGAAAATTTTGTCCACATCACTTTTTGTAAGGTGTCAACGCAATTTGACAATTTAAAGTTTCTATTTTTTAATAATTTACGATTAACGATTAATAATAATTTTAATCAAAAAATTTTAAAAATTTGAAGATATTCAAAAAAAATTTCTTTTTCATATATTTCTTTGAAAAAAAATCTGCTTCATAGAGATAAAAAGGTAATCGCAGTGGCAGCATTTAAGGTTCCTCCCTGATCTGAGTAGTCTTGTTTTAGTTTTCAGTTTCTAAAATGTTTTGTTTTGGATAATATTCCGTTTCATCAAGTAATTTAAAATTATAGAGCTAATATTGGGTCTTAGAGGTTCCTACTTAGACTATAACCTACGGTAAAATAGGGCGCGATGTTCAACGCAAATTTTATTTCTGTGCGTTTCTACAATTGTAAACGACAAAAGTGTTTTGTGACTTATGATTGTACCAACACCATGTGTATATTTGACAAACACAAACAAAGCACATCAATGACATATTTGTCGTCTATATTCGACATCAATTCGAAACTTCAAGTCATTTGATGTTGTATGTATTCTTATACTAATACAGGTTAGAATTTTAGCTTGCCATAACCATGTAAGAGTTACCATGTCAGTTAACTAATGATTTCTAATGCTTCGAAATAAATGTTTTGCGGTGCCGGTTGTGTTTTTTTGCTGATCATTATTAGATTTTTTTGTTATTCATTCTAATTATTTACCTTTGGTTTTACTCATTAAATTTTCCAGATTTCTCTTTAGTGAGTGAAAGAAGTTTTAGCTAAGTAGTGAACCAAACTACATTGTTTTCCATTATCAATTGCATGGTTTAATTGCTCAGTATAATATTTCTTTGTCGGTTATTTAACTCAGTTTTATGTTTAGAGTAACTGTTTTTATCTGGGATACTTTTCAAGTGAAGATCACTGGAGACTGAGAAAATGACGGAGACTGAGTGGAGTGCTGAAAAAGCTGTGGCTATCGGTAAGACATTGGAACCTTGTCAGATCCCCTCCCACAGAGATTCCAACCCCTGACCACCCACAGGGTCCACCCATCGGCACTATTTTAGAACATATATTTTTTGCAGACCAACTCAAATTGTTTTTCTAAGGGGGTCTTGAGTGTCAACATATAATAACTTTAAAGAGGGCGTGCGCGAGAAAATGCAATTTTTTGGTCAAAAGTGTCCAAAAAATGCCTAAAAACGTCTTTTTGTCCTGTTTTTTTTTCTAAATTTTGCCAGAGGCGCAGAAAATTTGATCAAATTAGGGTCATTATTGTGGTTTGAAATAGCTCAGAAAATCAATTTGGCCGAATTAGGAAAAGGTCGACAAAATTTTCAAAGATTGTTTAAAATGCCCCTCGCCTCGAGAAAATCCGTCCCTAAAACAAGCTACTGTAAAACAACAATGAAGTACAAAACTTGAAATGTGATGTGAGAGTCTAAAATAAATGAACTGCCCAGCTTAAAAAGATTGAATGATGGCGCGCTAGTTTTACTCAAACTAGGTCACTAAAGGCAATTTATATTTTTGCTTGAAATATTTTCGATTGCAAATAAGGATAGCCGGTTACTGTGCAAGTAGCACAGAAAGCTCCGATCATAGTTTAAAAAAATTCAACAAAATTTTTTTAAGACGAAAAATCAAAAATTTCAAACCCATTTTTCTCGACACAAGAAAAAAAATTTGGGTTTTTTTAATGAGGTTCGAATCGCGAATGAAAGGGCTTTAATATAAAATACCACTCAACCCAGTTCAATGTTTATTTGTGGTATCTGAGCTTGTGTGGAAAACAAAAAACTAGAACACACCCGAATACAAAGTTCCTCCTCATTTTCAACGGTCGAACAAAAATTATAATGAGTCACACAGAAAATTTGTGAGGCTGAAAAGTATCTAAACTATGATTGGAGTTGAACTTTTTGTTACTATGAATATAAAGGGGCGGATCCAGGATTTTCTCGAGTGGGATGAGGCGGGTTTTCAAATTGCATTTTTTCGGCGCGCGCATTCTTTCACATATACATTGGCGTCGAAAGTGCCTTTAAAAAAGTTTAAAGTTGGATAGCCAAAGCTGGATATTTTTAAATAGTACCAAATGACATCCAAGTTTGGCAGATCAGTGGGTCGAATCTCTGAGGAGGAGGGGAGGCGTCCACACTTCCGGTCCCGCTAAATTCGCTTAGCATCTGTGAACATGTATAGGTGGGGAGCAACGTCGTATTTGCGCATTATGACAAAAGACATTAAGGCATGACATCTCATCCAAGAGTTTACTGCTCGCGGGCTTCTTTTATCATATTGTGATACCATGTATCTGTTTCATTTAGTTAGAAGAGTAAAATAGGTCCTCGATTTTATCAATATTTCAGTATAAAAAGGTCCTTGAATTCGGAAATAGATATAAAATTAGACAACAGAATTTCTTAATCGATAAACCCGAGTTGACTTCTACAGACTGAAAATGCTTATCATACAATTCCATTATTTAAGTCTATGAAAAAATTTTAATCATACAAATTTCATACATTTTGCTAAAATGGAGTCATCGAATTTTAGAAGAAACTTTTCCTTGTTTTGGCATATAAGTCGGTGTATCGTCATAAATAAAACTGGAAATAGTTTCGAAATAGTTTCGAAATTGTCCTTTTTTTTTGATCGCCAACCCAATTTTGTGCTCAAACAAACATTTTCCAAGAAAAAACTGCATGCAAAAATTAATTTTTTTTGTTTGCATAACGTAATCCTGGATGCACAAAAGTTCAGTTTTTTTTCAGTTTCTCTGGATAACTTTTCAAAAATGCTTAAAACGCCTATTTATTTTGTATCTGAATTGCAAAAAAAAAAATTCGTCTGCAAAAAGCGGACTTGCACTAACGAACAATTAAAAATGTGGCCAAAACAAAAATTGAATGAAGTAACAGAATAGTTACCTCCCTAAAAACTAAAAATGCTGTTAAAAACTAGACACCGCAGCAGTTTTTGGAAATTGCTTCACAAAGCTGTGTTGAACATTTTTTGCTGTTGGCCTAAAAAAAATGTTTTTTTTTGACGCGGACCGCCCTCGGAACTTTATGTGAAACTGAGCCTCTTAATATGATAACCCGCAACAAAAGACCACTCGCAATAATAGCCATTAAAAGACAACTCGCAATATACTCATCATCCTAGTTTTGCGTCTGATCTCGTACCATTAAGAAAGATAAAAATGCGTAGCAACTTCGGCCCGGAAATAACTAAGCGAGCCGTTGATTTTTCAATTACACGAAAAGAAATTAACAAACATTACATTCAATTTGTGCTTCGACGAGTATATTTCTACTAATGAATCTCGTGCGATTGATTTTCAGCCATTTACAATCTGGAAGTGGTCGAGCCAAATGTGGTGTCATTCAAACACGGAGATTTATTTCAAGTTCAATTCTCGTCCGAAGGTCAGTACAGGTCAACGATCCTTTTATTGATTCCTACCCTTATGTTGCATCATTTCGCCGATCGGAACCCGGAAGTGGTTATTATTTAAAAAGTTATTTTTGAATACCTCTTTTTTGTAAGTCAAAATTTTATTCGATGAAGAGTAGTTTAAGCAACAAGTTTTTCGATTAGTACATTTTGAATTACTATTCTGCTAATTTTAGATTGGTTCTACGGGAAAAGCCTGATAACTGGAAACAAGGTAAGCCTTTACTTAACTCAATAAAATGTAATTAAGCATATTGATGCTAGATGCTGTTTGTGCTTTTTTGTTCACAGGGACTGATTTCAAGGCCACATGTATTCGTGATGAGTCAGAAAGAGTACCCCGTTGAATACGAATGGTTAGCCAGTTTAGTAATACAAAAGTTTTGATTCGAAAAAAATATGTATTTAAGAATCATTGCAGTGTGTACTTTTGAAAATTTTTTGTCTCTTACGCGTAATTTTTTCAAAAATCGAATCTCCTTGATTATCCGTGGTTAGGCAGGCGCGAATATTATCTGCCTTGTAAAGAAATCGCCTCTTTGTGTCTTGTAATGAATCCCCTATCTCTCCTTCTCCATTTTGCAGTGAGGGGGGATTAAAAGAAAGCGCAAAACCACCACTTTGTGCCTTGTACATTGTAATGAACCACCTCTCCCTCACTTTTGCTAATGAAGGGGGGGTGGGGTTGGTAAGTAACGAGATCCTAAAAAGTTTAGGCCTTCAGTCTGCCTCAACAACTTTAGAAAATAGTTCAAAAAATGTTTAATGTTCAGATTTCATTGAATTTTTCTTTAATGATTGTTCTGTTAATTGATCGTTCTAGTCTAACTGACAGCATTCGTCTGGAGATGTTCACATCTTTGTTCCAGTGGACGGAGAAGTTAAAGCAACAGCTCTGCTTCGGCACATACTTGGTTAGTTAAATTCTTCAAATTGCAAGAAATCAAATTGGAAAAAAAAATAAAACTGACAACTCTGAAAATAATTGACTGACCATCCTAAAATTCTTTCTACCCATTGTACTTGCCTCCGCCCATGGCTTCCTGTTTACTTCCTTATTTTTCAGAACTCTCGGCAGGGCTATGACAAACCATTGGAGGCTATCAAAGGTCAGTGTCGATAGTTCCAGAAATCAGATGTTCTAAAAAATCTAATAAGTTTTCTCAAATTTCAGATGCTCTCGAGGATTTCACGCAGTACAACCGGAAAATAATATTCGTAAGATTTAAAAACACAGTCATCGATTTTTTCCATGATTTTAAAATCCTAATTATGGATTTTTCATTGCAGAAAGGCGACCAACAAAGACTGTACAAAATAATCGATGCTAATAATAAGTAAGTAAATACCCCAGTTTTGTATAACGGAGAAGTGTAACCAACAGACAATTTTTTTATTGAAACCATTTTGACCCACTTTTTAATCTGGTCAATGTTTAATCACAGCTTTTAAAACTTTTTTCATGATATTTACGCAGGTACTTTGGACTGGCTAAGAAGTTCCGGGACTCCGGAGGCAGGGTGCGCGATCTGGATAGGGTGATGTCAATCAACATCTGTGAGACAGGCAGCAGACTCATAGACCAGGCCAGGCAGCAGAGATCTATGTCTAGCGTGAGTCCATGTCCAAGTTCGTCATTAGAAAAAGCTGAAGTATCGGACAAAAAAAAATTCACCAAATTAGCAATTCGCCAACTTAGCATAAAAAGTATGCGGAAAAGCCGCTGAGTAATCTTTGACAAAAAACTAAAGATTACAAGCAATTATTTCAAGTTTATGGATCTGTTAATTTTGAAAATTGGTCTACTTCCAATTTAAATTAAATCTCAACATTCCTTCTAGGTATATTCTTCCTCTATTTTCATGATCAAACGCTTAAATGAAAGTTGTAACAAAAAAGTTCTTCATAGTGTATATGCAGAATTAAAGATATGAGGATGAACCGAGCAATGCGATTCACTAGCGTCAATTTGATCACTAATATAGAGGGTCTGTTTAGGATTCGACCAATGTGAACATCATTTACCAGCTGATAATTAACACCAAAGGACTCCTCTTCAGAATCAGAAAACACGACGTCGATGTAAGATACATTCATTGGAAAGATCATAGTTTACCTTTAATTTTAACAGCAATTCTTCAAATTTGAAAAAAAAAATCATCGGCAATTCAAATTTGAAAGATTTGAAAAATTTTAAGTTCGGGGTGCTTAGTAAACAACCCGAAAATCAAAAACTTTGGCTACCAACCACAACTGAACGGTATTTTTTTTTCATTTTTTTAACGAGAATGGTAAATTTACTTCGATGCAATGTGTTTCAGGTGCCACTAGTCTACGTATTTGCCCTCCTGGACAACAAGAGCTTCGAATATATATCGTACGTGAGCACTTCACAATCCCACGCCCTCCTTACTAACAAGAAAACACCATGTAAAAAGACCAACTGATTGAGCGCAAAGAACTTATGAAGCTGGTATGGACAACCATGGGTTAACTTTTACGAGCAAACAGCCCTTTATCTTCAAGCTAATTGCCCTTTATCACATTAAATTTATTTTTGGATCTGGTTAAACTGTATAATTTAAAACAGTTTTCATATTTCTAGGGAGCCGATTGCTGTACGCAAATACGCCTGCAAGTCGCACGAACTCTCAGCCAATGAGAGCGAAGATAGGGAGTTGACATATTCTTTCACTTCTGATTGGCTGAGAAAACAACTGCGCCTATGTGGAATTAACGAATCACGGGTGAGAACGGATTTACTTGACAATGTGACTATAGCGTGCTGGGCGGTGGCTACTGGTGACGATATTAAAAACGAGAGGGGAGCTTCGAACCCTAAACTGAAGAGTTTGCCCGATGTACAAATCCCAATGTACAGTGGATCGAACCCAGCAGGTATTTGATTGTGGGCATGTGGTGTGTTTGTTTGTTTTGTTGAACTATTTCTCAACAGTTTTTACTTGTGTAACCATAACAAAAACAAGCTACCTAATCGAAATTTTGGAGTGCTGTCTGTATTTAGACAACCGCGTATTCATACTCGACAGTAAGCAGACAAATACTATACCAATCAGAACGAGATGAGAAAGCAAACTTACGAAATAAATAAATATTAATTAATGATTTCTTCCTTGTCTCGATTCAGATTGGTTAATATAGTATGTCTGCTTACTGACGAGTATGAATAAGCGGTTCTCTAAAAACAGCAATTAAATACCGCAGGCAATTTTTAGAAAAACAGGCCAAAAAAAGTGTTTTTAGACACTTATTGAAAATTTTAGACAAAAAAATTCGTTTTTTCGGCATGCGCTTCCCCCTCAAAATTAGTATATTGGCGCCCAAGGCGCCCTTAGAAAAATTTTGAGGTCCGTCAGCCAAAAATCGATATCTCAAAATAGTTCAATGGAAGGAACCCTGCAAATACAGGACTTTGTATTTTCTTAAGTAGATTAATTTAGTTAAATTAGCTTAAAATAGCTAAAGAGCAAAAAAAAACAATGGAGGCGGAGTAATATGCAGAATGGCTTAACTGCAAAATGTGTCCAAGAGCAGAAAAACAGTAAAAACTTAACTCGTATTGATTTATACGGGCTAACTGATAAAACAATTATTAGAATCGTGAAAAAGACCAAGGAAATGAATAAATTATGCATGAATTGAATAATTTCATTAAATTTTTTCATTAGATTTTTTTGAAAAAAATCTTGATTAAATTTGTAAATTATGCATGAAATGTTCGCTGCTTTGGTATTATTTACATTTCTGATAATTTCAGTATTGATTTGGTCTGCAGCGTCTCCAAGTAATTTTAGCGTTTCAAATCGATCGGTTTCGGAGTTTGACTTTTTGGAACCAAAATATCAATTCAATGGTGTCTTGATATGATTTTTAGACTCTTTTCCACCCCTTTCCCCTACAACAATTCAATTTTTTAATTTTTTTTTGTGGTTCAACGTGTTATTATGGCTGAATGCGTGATTTTGCATTAAGATTTACAAAGACCGAACGTTTTCACAATAGTTAGTTTGTTCACCTTTACTTTGAAGCTGAAATTTTTTGTGGTACCTAAAACTGCGACAATAAAATTTCAAGTGTTAATTGCCGCCTAATGCTTGAGACTTCAACATTAAATTGTTAAAATCATCTAAAAAATTACGTTTTGACTTACCCAAAGCGTTAGATGGGTTCTCCTGTTTACTTATCGTTAAGTACTCAGATATTATTAGATATACTTGATACACAAAGTTTAGTTACCCGAGATAGTATATTTTTGGTCCGACTGTTTGAATAGTGAGAAGGAACTGTGTATTAGGGTTTTGCTTCTTTGACACGCAAAATCAAGCACCACAAATAATCATCGAAGAGAGTTGATAGATATATCATACTAAAGCCCTTTCAGCCGTGATTCGAACGACATTGAAAAATTTAGTTTTTACCAGTCTCGAGGAAAACCAGTTTCTGATTATTTGTCAAATTCGAGCGATTAAAACGAGTGAGCAACCTTCTTCATGCTTAATGTTTTTTAGTCATTTTTGTCTAACAACTGTTGTCCTGTTTGCCTTCATTACTATGACTGTCGGATGTGTCTGAGCTAAAAATTTTATCATTCCACGCAGAAAAAAACTACACTAGTTTGAAAAAAAAAAAAACGTTTCGTAGATTTTCAAAGACTGTGGTCTGAACATTCTGTACTAGTTGCACAGTAACCGCCTATCTTTGTTCAAATTTGAAATTAGCCGGGTTTTGGGCTAATTAATGGCCACTTGGAAGGTTTCGTTTTCATTTTTTTCTTTTTTTTTCTTTTTATTTTTTTTATATCTCTCATGCGCTATGTAAAACACAAATGGTGTGTTTAGCGTCTCGTATTGTTTAACAGGACTAAGTTGCTGGCCTCAATTCAATTAGGAACACCTTAGTTTTCCAATAACGCGTAATATAAAAACGTATATTTTTGCGCTTTAATTATCCGACATTTGCAAACTTAGCAGTTTTCAAACACACGTAACTTTACAAAAATTGATCCCAGGTAAAAAAAAACTTTTTTTAAATTTGAGCATATGACAAAATAGTTTTTTTATATAGTACACCCTAAGCATAAATAATTATCACTTTCTTCAAAAGAGGTAACAATGAGAAAAACAGATGGAAGCAATGTTCAGAAGGAAAAAAGTTTTTCTTTTTTTCGGAAGCCGAAGTTTGCATTCAAAGGACATGTTTAACATATTTGGTAATTAACGTTAGTGACGCAACTTTCTTTCAGCAAGACTTTTTGTGCTTCGACAATTTTCAAAGAAAATGACGGAATATTTGTGCTCGGGTGATTTTTTTCTCCAGACGAGTTTCGTTTTTTAACTAGCAGTTTTTAACAAATATTTTTACTATCATTCGGAAAGTATTGTTGTCCTGAACTCAAACTCCTGTATTGTTGTCAGAACATTCGGGATTTTGCCCTGTTACGAGCAGTCTGGTATGAATAGGATGGAACTATCAAGGCGTTTTTGTACCCCGTCCGAACCGTTTCTGTACTTTTCAGTCTGCTTCGGTAATCTCACTATTCTCAGTTTCATGGCATTTTTGGGTACCAAAGTCTAAAAATTTTGGTTATGATATTTCACAAAAGCGGATCTAGGTTCTTGAGGGAGGGGGAGGTGGATTTTCAAAACTTTTCGAAAATTTTGTCAATTTTTTTTCTAAGTCGAACAAATTGATTTTCTGAGCTCTCCTAAATCACTAAAAAGACCCGATTTTGACCAAAAAGCAGGCCAAAAAGGCGTCCCCCCTAAATCCGCTGGTGATATTTCACAAAAATTGAAATTTAATATCTGGATTGAGATTGAGCTGTTTAGTGATTTCTTTCCCCTACGACTCGGCTCTCAATTCGAAGACGAATACCCGAATCAGTCTGAACGAAGTCAGTGTTGAGTTGGCGGGTCGAATAGAGTTCAAAGGAAGCAAGACTAACCGCACAGCCAGCATGGGCGATGAACTGGGAAGAAATCAGAACAACTCACACCCTAGTTCGAAAAAATTCATTATTAAGCAATTACTCCAAATTACTCTAAATTTTGCTAATTGTTACGGTTGACAAGTCTTTAAAAATGTTTATGCAATAATGTGTCGAAAGTTTCTGCTGAGCATTATCACAAAACCTTCTACTGAAAACAATCACCAAACAAAAAGCATTTAAGCATGTTCAAAAAGAGTTGCGAAATACCTATGAAGACCTTAATGTTTTTACTGTTGTATTTTTCAAAAGACATGTACTTTTCACTTTACTTTTTAACTAGTGCTTTTACTTGCTGAAGATATTTGTGGTTCATTAATCAGGAAAAAATGCTTTAAAAACTAAAAATCTGTTTAGTAAACGTGTCTCTGCTGGCCAAGAAGAAACTGACAACTTTACATGCGGAGTCAAGATTATCCACACAATCCCAACAGGAGCAGGTTCCCCACCAGGAGGGGGAGGGACTTTTTTATGGGGTGGGAGAGACACCCCTCCCCTCATTCAGTTCAACAGAAGGCATGCTTACTTTTCGAAAACTTGAACACATTTGCGGCAAAAATTGCAGTTGCCCTAAGCTTCCCACTTTTATTGTTTTGCTTTGGGTGTATTGCTCAAAATCAAAACTGTGTCAAAAACTTAGTTTTTTGGTGCAACAAAAAGGACGAAGGAAAAAATCACGGCCATTAACTTGCGCAATCGACAAAGAATATTATATTAAAAGGTGTGCCGTGTTTCAGGTGCTTCTTTTCAGATGACCAGAATATCTGTGGATATCCAGCCTTCATTTGCGATGGAAAGGTAATTTGTAGTACCTGTTTTTAATCGACCAGACATTTTTGGGAGGGCCTAGTTCTAAGACTACATTGCTCTACATTTGAATTCTAATGCATGTCTGAAGTAAAAAAAAAAGCGCAGTTCAAATTTACCCCTCTAATGTTCGTTTCAGCAAATCGATCTTGAAGGGGTCTCCTAAGTTTGTTTTCTCCTCGCTGAGCATCGCATATGCAAATACTCTGACAGCGCGGGAACGACAAGACCTCGAAAATGTAGGTTATAGTCATTCAATTTTTATCGTTTTGACCTATTGTGATGTGAGCCTTTTGAGCAGTGCTTTATTTTGAGTGATCTTCGAAGTGAAGTTCAAGGCTCTTTTTCCTTTTTTCCCACCTGCACAGTTTTATGTTTGAAACTGTTCACATTGTCCGATTGTCAAGAAAATTGACACGCAGACTGACTAGGGCAGGACAAACATATTTTGTTTTCATAATTAACATTGTAAAACTACTCGTAATACCATAAAATTCATGTTTGTGTGAGGTAGGGTTGGGGAAGAAAAAAGAGCCAAGTTCAATTTTCAAATGCTGAAGATTGAACTGTTTGCGACCCAAATATAGTGGCATTGATTATTGTGAATGAAAATGACCCTTTTTAGAGACTTGCTGAAGAGTCGATGAACATAGTTCAGACTCTTATATAGGTCATGATGACAAGGGCGGATCTAGCATCTTGAGGGTGAGGGTGGGGTGGTCAAAAATTTTTTGAGGCCAAACTGTTCACTGGATAGGCGCGCAAGTTTGTGTATGTATGTTCCTGGATTTGTCGGAAACGATCATCGAAAAATAAAGCACAAAAAAGAACAAAGGGAGCGTCCTTGTTGTAGAATCCGCTTTTAAGTCACAAAATGCAGTTGTGGTTCCTTGTGATGCTTTTTTTGCTCGACTTTGCTCGACTTTTTGTAAAACTTTACCGTTTAGGGCAATTTTTCGAAAATTTTGACCAAAAATTGCGTTTTGGCGCGCGCTCCCCATCAAAATTAGTATATATTGACGCTTTTTGAAAAATTATGAGTTAGTCCTGAAATGAATGTCATAAAATAATATCAAAGGGGGACCCTTCGCTTGGTGAGGGGTCGAAGCCTTGAGAAAGTGGGCATCCAAACAAACATCAACGCCTCCCCACCCCTAAGACTGCGCCTGCGTGATTATTTTTGTTTTCGTTTTGTTTTCGAATTCAAGTTCATTCGCTAAAAGTTACGCAAAATGCACTCTCCAATTATGAAAGCTGAAATAACGCGAAAAAAGCGTGATCAATTTGTAGCTTCGTAATTGGAATTTAATTTATAAATTTCCCAGCGGAATAAAATATTTTATAATAATTAGTGTTATCTAACATTGGGTTGTTTTTATCAAAAATTACCAATCAGAAATTGCTCTTGAAATTCACTGAACTACAAGGCCATATAATTCATTTGTTGGCCATTCCAAAATTGAGGTTTTTTCAAAGATGTCTTTTTTTTGTTTCTTTGTGTTCACTGACTCTTGTTCTACTGAATGTTGGGCAATTTTGTTTAATTCAAACTGGCTCAAAGTTTTAGTCTCCAAATATTTTATTTTCATGCTTCATTCTACAATATAAAAAATACACAAACACACTGGCTTCTGTAAAAAAATACACTGGCTGCTGTGCAGGTAGTACAGAAGATTCTACCACAATTTTAGTGAGGAAAGAAAAACTTTTTTTTCATTTTTTCAATCCATTTTGTGTTTTTGTCCTTGGTGTAGAGAGAAAAACTTAAAAGTACGAACAACATCAAAATGAATCAGTTATAACTAAAAGAAAAATTCAAAAAAAAAATTACTTTTAATTACTTTTTAATTATTTTTCTTGATTTATTTCTAAATTTTTTAAAAAAAAACTATTTGAAGTTTCAATTCACTAAAATTTTATTAAGAGTTTTTGCTCTACACGTTTCACATTTTGTAATTAAAGTAAAATCAAAATTTTCCAACCGGTTTTTAGGGACACTGTCAAAATTTTTGTATTATATATAACTCAAATCAATCTGACGTTTATTTGTTGAACTTGATTTTATGTAAAAATTGAAGAAAAAATTATTCCAAGAATTGAATGCTCTGCAAATAGTAATGTTTCAACAACAGTTAATTTTGAAACAAAAACATGAATACAGTTTTTAATTTGAGTCACTTTTTTGTATACATAAAAAAAGTAAGCTAAGCTTGACATAAACTTTAACTGAATGAAGTTAACAACGCCTAATTTGTCACAACATTTTTTTAAAGATTTCCCAAAAATGTTTTTTCCCTCAATTTGTAGAGTGTTTGATGACTAAGCACATATACTAAACATTTACGAATAGTTTTGCAGCAAAAACTTGATTTTTTTAGCTTAATTAACAACAACTTTTAAGTTACCTGCTCATTTTACTCACTGCAAGTTATACTACACAGGGAAATTTTCCGACACCGGGTAAAATGTTTCGCAGGTATGTAATGTTGATTGACTCATGGCTAAAATGGCTTTAACTTGTTATATCCAACTTATTTTTGGTACTCGATTTAGCCTTAAAAAAATGTTGAGACACACCCGAGCATAAAGTTTTTGCTTAAATTCTGTGATTTTTGGAAAGCAAAGTAAATTAGCTTCAGTTCAATTACCGCAAGATCGGAAAGCTTACAACAAAATGTTCGAATTTTTTTTCTGATGTCTTAGAAGTTAAAACGTTAAAGAAGTTAAAACTTGAACTCGTCAAACATGCTTTCTTGACATTTACAAACTTTTCAAAACACCTTGTTTTGGCCAAATTTTCTGCGCCGCAGGCAAAGTTTTGTAAAAAAATGCCAAAAACTGCGTTTTTAGGCACTTTCTCTAAAATTTTGATCAACAAATTGAGCTTTTTCTAAAACTTTTATGGTGTGTAACCAAAAGTGAATATCTCAAAATAGTACAAAGGGGAACCCTTTGGGTTGGCAGGGGGTCGAACCCTTGAGGGAGGTGTTCGCGCCCCGCACCTTCCTAAATCCGCCCCTGGTCGATTGATAGGGCATCAATATCGTTGATCACTAAACAACATCTGACTTTTTTGGTACCTGATTTTTGGTACCTGCGGCAAAAAAAACTAAAACACACACAAAGACAAAGCTGCTCCCCACCTTCAGTGGCCTGAACAGTAAAACACAATAACTCTCCATCGTTTTACTCTCTTAATTCTGGAAAAACTTACGAATGTTCCTCTAATATATAGCCGAAGATATTTGTTCGACCCTACACCAACTGTCCCACGTGGGCAGGCGACAGCTTTGACAGTGTAGTAGAGGTCATCTCGAACAACAGTGGCAACAAAAGGTCCTTGACCTCTTCTGACCCCGACCACCTGTCCCTGTTCATGAACAGATGCCACGTGGACATCGAATTGGAAGATGATAAACAGGCAAACGAGTGGAAGAAAAATCTGCCCTACCTCATGTTTGAACTGCGCAGATCTAGAATAGGTTATGCATGCATGTCTTTAATTTGAAAAGAAACGGCGAGCAAGTAGCGCAGTTAATGGATATTTTTCTTGATGGTTTTTGAATCGGTCGAATCTAATTTTCCGACCAAACAGAAAGATTGTGATATGAAATTGATTGGAAATACACACAAACCGAGAGAACAGTTCGATTTTTGAGCATAAAATCTGATGTCCGTAGGTTTTTTTTGTAAAAAGTTTGTTGTTTTTCTAGCAACTGACTACAAGGACCTGCTGACTAAAGCGTGTCTGACTGACAACGTGGAACATTTCAAGATCCTCGGCTACTGTGTCATGCCTCTGTTCGACGAAGTGCTTCCTCGCAACGGGGAGTACCAGCTAAAAGTACTTAACCTCTTGCAAGTGAACGAGATCCTGGGCACTAGACCACGTGAAAACTCCAAAATTGTCACGTGGCCTTTCTCTTCTTGGGCCATTGACGTGTTTAAACGCGACGACAGCGACGGCGGCAGAAGTTCTCAGTGCAACTTGACCATCGATTTCTCAATCTCATCCCAAATTCTGATGAATGAAGGTTCAATGAAGTTGCATCATAGTTTGTTCTTTGAAAAAATTATCTCTGAATAAAAGTGATGAATTTTTCCAGGGTTTGTGCCTCAATTACTGAATTTACCCGACACCCTTAAAATACTTCTGATGGAAAAAGATTTCATCCAACCTCATGGTAAGAGAGAACTTGTGAATCGAAATGAGACTTTTACATTATTTATTTTTGGAGATTCTTGTTATCAAATTGTCGCGTGTTTCAGAGCTTGACAAGTCCTTGAACAGTATCCGAGATTTCTTAAAGCAGACCGAAAGCGAGAGGTTTGTTTCAGTTGAATCATATCAATGTTTTTGAAGAAATGCGTACAGATAAGATAAATGACCTATAAACTTATAAATTATTTTAGTTTGTTCCATGTTTTATGATATTTTTATTTATGAAATAAAGATTTGGTTTCTGTTTTAGGGAAAAGAACATCGATGTCTGCCTCAGGGTTTGTACAAACAAAAATCACAAGTCATTTTCCCAATTTACTAGTTTTGAGATTTTTGGCCCATTTTGATTCAAGGTTTGATCTGTTCAGCTGTTAAATAAATAAACCAAGCTCACAACTAGAGTAAATCTATTCTAGTTCCGAGAAACATTTTGCAACTTTGAAATTCTCAAGTAGAATGAGGAAGCTGCAAATTCGAAGTCTTTGTCTAGATTTTTCTTCAGCAACTAAGCTTCTGAGAAAACAAGCTGAAGTATCGGAAATTTTCGAAAAATTTGATTCAAACAAACGTTTTTTTTGTTCCCACTCTCCTCTTCCAACAAAAATGGGAGTGTGGCCGAAAAAATTTTGTGTGATTCAAATTGTTTGAAATTTTCTAATATTTTAGCTTGTTTTCTCAGAAGTTTAGTTGGTAGAAAAATATTAGACAAAATCATAGGGTTGATTGTTGAAATGTGTATTTTGAAGAAAAAAAAATAGGGGCGGCATTGCATGGCCAGATGTTGAAATCATCCGCTTCTGCCAAAGTTTATATTTTTTGAGTTTTTTAGTTTTTCCCCCATGCAAAATCAGGCGCGACAACATTTTGACAATGAGACGTGATTCGAATGATTTAAAAAGAATTCAAAAAATTTCTTCCAGTATCAAGAAAAACCGGTTTGATAATTGTAGCCTAGTTTCCTACAAAAAAATGGAAAGTACGCAAAAGCAAATTACTTAGAACGTGGTAAATTTTGGTTGATTGAAAACAAAATAAATCTCAACCAGGATAAAAATAGTAAGTCCTAAACTTGGACCAAATTGTCCCCAGAATATTTTGGGCTTCATCTGGGTAAAGGTGCATATTCGTAAATATTCAACTATTTACTCGAAACCAAATTCTAATCATTTACAAAACTTGTATTGAACCAATAAATCATTTTGTGTTACTGATATATCCATCTGGTACTACAACCATTTTACCGAAAAGTTGAAAACATCAAAAACTCTTCAACTTCAAAACTGCTTCAATTTGTCGAAAACAAAACAGACTGTCTGAAAATGAAAAAAATTAAGTTCTGTTACGTCAGGTTGTTCCATAAATTTGAATTATTGAAAATAATATCAAAAATCATAACAAAAGCCGCACCCACACACCTTACTAATCAAAGAAAAAATTAGCGATTAATATCATTTTGATGTATTCCCAAATAATAAACGCAATTTCAGGATGCGAAACACGAGCCACAACAAGAAAAACTCAAAACTATTAAATCGTTTCTATGATTTGGCAAAAAATTAGTTGGTGATATATTTATTTGTCAATGCAGATATTTTAAGTAAAATGTGTATCGTATACTGGATCTATACAATTGTAATAACGAAATTTTGATGAACTTTTTGATTGTCGGAGTTTGAGCTGTATTCTTTGTTGTTTGCTCATGAAGACTCAACAGGCAGCTAACTGGCCTTCTACTGTTCTTCCAAGAGGACTTACTTAAAATTGTTTTGAGTTTTTTACTAAGCGCACATTGCTGGTTGAATGCTTAGTAATTTTATCCTAAATTATAAGTCTCACCTTAGATCGTCAAATTGTCTTGACAAAAAGTAGAGTAGAAACAATAGTTAGAAAAGGTATGAATTAATTAGTTGGTTAGATACAGAGCACTGGGTTATTAGATTATATAAATGAATCGAACAGCTTAAAGAAATATACCTATGAGGGGAGGTTGAGCTAATCTTATTTTGTTCATCAATTTTTTATCTTCTTACTAAGGTCGGTGGCTGATTAGTATGTATGGTTGCCCTTGATTTTGTCCAAGTCAGCACTTCTGGTTGGGTCGTCTGAATCGTCTTGCCGTAGTCCTTTGGGTACTTGTAGTCCAGACTTCCTCGGGTGTGCGTATCTCGAGTATCTCGATTTATAATTTTTCAAATCAAACTTAAAATGAGAATTTATTCTCTTTTTATAAGTGAAAAGGGCTAGATTAATTTTAGTGTGAGGGCAGAAAAGAAAAATTATTTATTTTTAAAAGATATGACTGAAGAGAACTGACTTGCTGCTGACTGAGCAAAATGAAACACTGAAGATTTCAGGCCAGTCCTTTTGCTCATAAGCATAAACCGGCGGCTGATTCAATCTTTAATTTTTCAGGTTTCACCTGCTCCTTTGTTCTCCCTTTTTAATAAGGGAATTTTCAACTAGTTTTTATTTGATTTTTTCAAATCAAATATCTTCAACTTATTAGTCCCCTTTGATAAAAACCGCAGCCTTCAGTTTGTCTTATTAAAAATTCATATTACTCTCTCTGATGCATCATATTGCAGGTGCACCTCTGCTTAATCAAAGCAAGGAGAATTTCAGTGCAGCCGGCAAGACTGCTAAATATTTATCCAGTTCGTTTCAAGTTAAGTTAAAAGGGACGTATTAATAATCGCCGCCCTTTTAAAATATTGAGCATGAAAAAATGAGAAAAATTGGACAAGTATTTAAAAAGGAGTGGATTTTCACAACAAGATTTTATAGTCCTAATAAGAGTAAATCAGTCAATATCTGATTTAGTGAAAAGAGGCTTTAATTTAAATGGCACACTCCAATTTAGAATTGGGTCGTTAAATAAACAATTAAGACAATTGTCTTTTGTGTGTGTGTGTGTAGTATTTTTCAATACTACAACTCACCCCTTTTTTTAGAAAATTAAGCTGTTCGATTCTTACAGTTACCATGGTGAAAATTTAAACACTTTAATGGTTAAATACTATAGTTATAAAATGTTAGAAAGAACATCGAATGAAAAGGTTATAAATATAAGTTAGGTTTTATCTAGAGCTTCCTTCCGGCTTCTAGCTCCACGTTGTATGATCTGAGGATCGCTATCTTCCTCTGTGAAGCCTCGAGTTTTTGTTGCAACTTCACGATTTTCTTCTTTTTGATTTTGTTCTTGATTCGTAGTCTGCTCATTCCGTCCGTAAGTTGTTGAATGTCGTCCTGTTTTTCCTGTCTGTTTTTTACATGGTTCGGAAAAGCAGTTATTCCCTCGAACGGGATGGTGACTTGCGTGCCTCCTGCCTTGAGGATGTAGCTGTGTTCCTCCCTCTTCTTTAATTTCCAGAAGTTGTTTTCGTTCTTTATAACCACTTCTGGCTGGGTTATGAAGTCGATAGGCATCATCGCCTTTTCCATTGTCGTTGAGTTGACGACTTCAATGAACGATGGCAGTTTCCATCTGTTATAATTTTCCTTTATTGAGTACTTTAAACTCGTTATATATTTTGGATTTTCTGTATCCAATTTGGTTTCTCTGCACTTCTGCAGTTCCAATCTTTGGGTTAAACTGGGAAATTTGCGAGGGTTCTTATTTAACCCGTCGTCCATTGACAAAGATTGAACTGCTACCGGTTTCCGTTGTTTCTTCCTGAGAGACAGCTTTCTTTTAAATTCCTCTGGTGCAGGGTCTGCATTTCTGCAGTTCCAGTTTAAAATTGGGTCATATTCCATTTTGCTAAACATCAATATAAAATGACCAAATATTCAAAATCCCGAATTACATTCGGATATTAAGGCTAATTATCAAATGATTGGACAATGAAGGACAAAGTGTAAAATTGTATATATATATAAAAGGTGGAAAATATAATCTTGTGGTTTCACACAAACCCACCACGGAAAACAAATGAAGAAAGACGATCATGGTGTTTATTAACCACAGGAATACAAATCAAGAAAGACGATCATGGTGTTTATTAACCACAGGAATAAAGCACTTTACAACACTGAGTTAAGCCAGATTTTAAACTTATGTAGTTTAAGCAAAATTGGAAATTTGGGCATTAATTAACCCCTAATCTTAAATGTATGTCCACCTGGTTGTCATAACCAGCAATTTTTGTTTCATTTTTTGATAAAAAATAGAAAAGACTTGAATTAGAATCAAATCGAAATGAAATATCGAAGAAAAGGAAAATTAAACAGACAAATTGCAAACTGTATAATATTCAAAAACATAAGAGTGATAATTCTTCTTCGTTTTTAATCTCCTGCATCAATCCATGTTCACATTTTTAGTACAAAAAAGTCGTCCTGAACTTTATGATGCAAAAATTTAACGTAAGCAAACTTAATGATGATGCAGTCTAATTTTCAGTTGCTTCTGAAAATTTGTTGTTTTTAAGGGTTTAAATGCGTGCATGTTGTGGATTTTGAACTACCGAATTGATATTTTGGCCAAATTGTGAGGAGTGAATCATAAGAGTCTCAAAGGCTGCATACAGCCACCAACAAGCACTTGCGTTGTTGAAAGAATATGGTACCATAATTTTAAAAAGGCTACATGAAGCCACCAACAAATGCTGGCATAAATCTGCGGCGGGTCGGGTCGAAAAACATTGTTCGCCCATTTTATGATAAAGAATATTGATGAAAATTTTACTCAATGTGTTGAGAAGAAAGGAGGTGATATTTCCCTTTTTGATGAATTTCTTCTAGTTTGCATTTTGTAACTTGAAAACTACAAAGATAATAATTAATGTCATCGGTCCCTACTTGGGCCCTAAGAGGAATCCGATGGTGCAAATTAACTTCGCAGAATGGGATTGTTACAATTTTACATTGGCTAGTTCTTTTATCAAAGGTTTCACTCTATTAATTCTCGTTATTGTACGTAGGGTAATTTGTCATTCCCTTAAGTGTAATAGTGAATTTTCAGTTAATAAAACCGCCTGAAAATGAAATTATTTTAGACTCGTAAAACTGTAATATTTTAAACTCCTGGCCTTTTGCAATTTTTTTTGCAAATATGTTGTAGTCGAAAAACTTTTTTGTCTGAGCCATTGGGTTCCGATCCCTCTATCTTTATTTGATTTTGAGGTTGGTCCAAAATTGTTAGCGTACTTGACTGTTTTTGATCTCGGTTAAGAATTAAATCCGTGTTCATGCATTTTGGCATATCTTTTTGGGTGTCATACAGAACCGCTATTCATTGAAGTACATTTGTAGGATAATAATCGTAATCTAATTTTTT